TTGGGATTTTGATTGGCATTGCATTAAACCTATAGAGAACTTTTGGTAATATCGCCATTTTGATGATGTTAGTTCTGCCTGTCCATGAGCAGGGTATATTTTTCCATCTTCTAAGATCTTCTGCCCCTCCTCCAATTGGTGTGACGTGTCTACCACGCCCACGGACCCCTGGGCCTCTTCTGCCGGTTGGTTGCAGGTCTGCCTACCTTGCAGGCGCGGGCGGCGGCTCTGCTCTGCCCTTACTCCAATTGGGGTGACGCATCTACCACGCCAGCGGGTCTCTGGGCCTGTTCCGGCGCAGGCGGCGGCTCTGCTCTTCCCCTACTCCAATTGGGGTGATGTGTCTACCATGCCGGCAGGCCGCTGGGCCTGTTCCTCTGGTCGGTCACAGGTCTGCCTACCTTGCGGGCACAGGCGGCGGCTCTGCTCTGCCCCTACTCCAATTGGGGTGACGTGACTACCACGCCGGCAGGTCGCTGGGCCTTTTCTGGGCGCAGGCGGCGGCTCTGCTCTGCCCTTCTGGCTTGATGACAAAGTGAGAGAGACTCGGGTGTATGTGACTCACTTTCTTTACCAGGAGACCAACTGTTTCTGTCGCCACTGGTATCAATGATGTTATCTCCTCCGCCGCTTTCTGATGACATCAGATCTCTGCCATGTTGGTATCCCATGCAAATGGCAGCATTTCGTTCCCTTTGCCGGGTGACCAAAGCATCGGGTGAGTCCTGACCGGCCCTCACAAGCCCYGTCTCAATCCTGTTGCCACTGCCTATGAAGGCTCTGTTGGTATTTACCTCCACAGTATTCAGCAGGACCCGGACCGAGAAGCAGTTTCCGCGGGTTCTTTAGCCCTGGGCCAGAGCAGTTCCGGGAGCCGGAATTCGGCTGCTCCTGGCTCGGTGTATGTTCTGATAGGAGCAGGCTCCAAGAAGCAGTTTCCGAGGGTTCTTTAGCACTGAGCCTGAGTAATTTGTCTGCGAGACGCAGGCRAATGGCAACCTGAAATTACCTGTTCTATAGCTGAATGAGCTGCGATCAGTCGAAAACAGGGATGGTGACGTCAGCTCTCCAAGATGGTGGCCGCTGGCTTCCTCTGTGGTCTGACCGGTGTGGAGAACCGAATTGGACCGCCACCTTCCCCCGTCTCAAACCCAGAATTCAGCACTGAGTACAGTGATTGCACAGCTGGCAGGAGCCCACAGAACCCGCAGCGCTGTAAATCATGTCTGTTCTTAAGGGCATTAAACCCTTTCATGAGTGCTTTGCCTTCAGACTTAATCACTTTTCAAAGTCCTTACCTCCAACTACATTGGGGGTTAGGTTTCAACATATAAATTTTAGGGAAAAAACATTTCTTCCATAGAAGGAACATTCCCATCCTGCATCATAGATCTGTTTGACCTTTGATTATTTGAGTTCATCGTGCTTTGCTCCAGAGTTGGGCTAGAATTGCCGCCTTATTTCTGGAGAAATGCAGATTACTCTACCACGCGGCCTGCGCAGTGGTTTCATTAATGAGGTTCTAGGCATAAAGTTAGTTAGACGAGATCGAAATAAAAACACAAGACTCAATTACCTTAATTCTATTGCTAGGTCCGAGACGGCTCCCCTCTCTGGTTCGCTCCTCTAGCCGCCCAGCAGGGCAGCAAGGATTACTCAGGGCTAGCAGGAGAGAGAGAGCGAGCACGCCGGGGAGTAGCCTTTTATTAGGGAACCAGAGATTCAGGGGAGAATTCCATCCAATGAAGGTTGAGGGGGGGCTGCACTCCAAGGTTAGGGTCAGCGATTGGGTCCCCGGGGTCAGTGGTCAGGCACACCCCCACACGGATGGGCTCTCTCATCAGGAAAGGGCCGGGAAAAACTTCGACTTATGCCAAAGTGCCTCAGACCCTCAACGGGAGGCACCTGATCACGTGTGAGAATGGCTCCCCACAGATTACCAGGGCCCTTCCCAGATCCATGGAGGCAGGATCTATATTTTAACATGATTCTGGGGAAGTCATGTGCCCTGCAAGTTTGAGAAGCTCTCTGCAAGACTGGTTTTCACCTGGACATAAATAGGCATATTCTTCTGTGGTTTTCTAGTCATAGTTGGGATAATCAGCTTCCATGTTCTTGCCTTCCTGTCTGAAGTTGATATCTCCATAATTCACTGATTTAAAACACCTCTTTTTGAAAAAGGCACATGTGTAGATTATGTTCTACAAAAGATTTGATTTTTGAAAAGCTGTGGGTAAAATAAAATTTTTAAACAATGCTCTCCCATAGATGTAATTTACTGATTGATTGATCCAAATGGGGAGATCTTATAGATGACTGATTTTATTCGGCAAAGTGGTTAATTACTCCCAGCATTTATTTATGTGGAGCCCAACTTGCTGGGATGAATCCTGTCATAGTCAATGCTGTAAAATCAATGCCTTGCTGTATCCTGGTCCTCATTAACCTGCAGCCTGTGTTCTCTCCAGCTTCCCCAAACGGGAACAGAGGGTTGACACACCCTGTAACAATGTTAAGCTAGGCACCCACTCAAGTTGACTCATATAATTAGCCATTACATGCATTTACTTGGTATCTTGTGGGGTTTTCCTTGGAGAGACTATGAAAAGTAAAAGGGGAGGGAGTGGTCCTGGAACATGGGCCAGGGACATGACTGCCCTGGAGTAAGGACCTTTCTATTTCTGATCTTCAAGGATGGCCTTGAGGGGGACAGTGTAATACCAGGGTCTCCCCAGGGAGAAGAAGAGGCAAAGGACAGAACTGTGGTGAAATGTCTCAGGAAGCACAAGGCTGAGCATGGTGAGAGAATGGTGACTGAGCGCAGGGACCTAACCACACATGACCCTTAGACCTTGACCATGTCAATCTTTTCCAGATCTAGGGTTTGCCACCTATGAATGCACAATGTGAGACCATAAGTTTCTGAGGTTCCTCCTGATCTGCCCCACTCTGTGGCTACCTTTTATTTTTATTTTTTTWAAAAAAGGGCAAAGATGTTGCTGAGAAGGCAGAGTCAAATGTGCAGCTGTGCCCACCTCAGTGCCCATCTGTGTGTTCAAAGTATCTGGCACTATGAGTTGCAGCTATGCTCATCCTCAGCAACCTGAAAGGCTTTTATTGTGATCATTCTCATTTTACAAATGTCACCAAGACTCCAGGATGTAAAATCTAGTTCTGAGAGAGAGACAGAGCTGTGAGCACTGGAGCTGAGGTATGCCCTTTTCTTCCTCAGTGTTTTGCATTCCAAGGCCTGGCTTTGTGGAGAGAAGAACAGGAGAAGGCAGATTTGGGTAGGAGACGATTAAATTAGAACTGGGGTGAGCCTTCCTGCATCTTGTTTTTTATTATGCATCCTACCCTATCATGAGAAGAACCCAGGGAGTAGGGGCAGGAAGAATTCCTTGCAGCAGGACTTCAGCTTAGGGGGAAGCTCTGGGCTCTACTGCCTTGTTGGGAGTCATTGTGAGATGAGGAACATGCACCTTTGCAAAAAGAAGGGCTTGGGTGACATTTAACACAGACAGCTCTGGTAACTCCAAGGGTTTATATTCCAGGGAATAATTGGAGATTGTCAATTTAGATATCTTAGATATGTCAAGTACCCCTCCCAGGAAGGAAGGGTTGAGGATCTATCCAGGGCTCCCCCTGGGTCCCACTAGGTTCCACTTACCTCATCTTCTTGCCCCACTCCTCTGTGTGCTCTTCYTGTGCTGGACCCTCCACAGAGAATCCCATTTCACTGTACCCTTTATTGAGCAGGCACTTCATGTTATCATCCTATTGGTACTCACCCCATGAGGTAGAACTGTGCTCATCTCTACATTATACACAGCCTTCTGGAAGATGGAACAACTTTCTAGCAGTCCCTTGGATAGTGAATGGGAGACCAGAGGTTCCACTTTGAATTTGTCTGACTGCCTATGTCCTTTGTCCTCCCAGCTAAGTCAGTGGTTCCCAAACTTCTTTTGATCATGCACCCTAGTTGGTGAATAACACTTTACTATGTCCCACTTCAAGCTTATTTCCTTATAAATTAGAGTATGTAGATTAGGTTTAACTAGTACAGGGATTTTTTGTTCGTTCGTTTGTTTTGCCAGTGCTGGGGATCAAACCCAGGGCCTCACGTGTGCCAGGCAAGCACTAAACACTAAGCTATACCCCAGCTGCCATAGTTTTTTCATAGATCAAAATACCACTATTCAGGTTGGGAATCCCCAGTCCAAAAATCCAAATGCGGCACAATCTAAAACTTTTTTTTTTTTTTGTACCGGGGATTGAACTCAGATGCATTCGACCACTGAGCCACATCCCTAGCCCTATTTTGTAATTTTATTTAGAGACAGGGTCTCACTGAGTTGCTTAGCACCTTGCCATTGCTGAGGCTGACTGTGAACTCACCATCCTCCTGTCTTAGCCTCCCAAGATGCTGGGATTATAGATGTGCGCCACCACACCTGGTGCAGAATCTAAAACTTTTTGAGTACTGACATGATACCACAAATGGAAAATTCCATTCTATGAAACTTTTGTTTCATGCACAAAATTATTAAAAAACACTGTATAAAATTACCAGTAAGCTATATGAATAAGGTGTATATGAAACTTAAGTGAATTTCATGTTTAGATTTGGATCCCACTCCCAAGATATCTCATTATGTATGTGCACATATACCAAAATCCAAAAATTAAAAAAAAAAAATCTAAAAGACTTGTGTTCCCAAGCACTTCAGGTGCACTATCTATAAAATACACTTATGCAAAACATTTTGTGAGATTCATTTTCTTACTTTTTTGGGGGGTGGGGGTGTTGTTGGGGATTGAACCCAGGGTCTTGTGCTTGGCAAGCACTCTACCAACTGAGCTATATCTTCGGTCCCCTTCCTCTTCTCTCCTCCACTTCCCCTTTCTTTCTCCCTCCCTCTCCCCCTCTCCACCTCACTTTTCCCTCCATTCCTTCCTTCCTCTCAGTTGCAGTGCCCTGTCAATCCAGGCCTCACAGTGAGGCCAGTGCCCTGTCACTGAGTTTACCACCTTCTCCTTTGGTACCCTACCCCCTCAAGGAGGAGGTTTAAATTGAGTATCAACAAAAGATCTGTCTCTTGCTTGTTGGCCCCCCAGCTGAATTGTGCTGCTTAAGTACTTCTCTTTTGGAGTCCTCTGCCCCTTACTGGAGATGAGCATGTGTTGAGTGGACACACAGGCATTAGTTTCTGCTTGCTATGGGTGATAATGGGTCCCGTTCACACATGTGTATAATAAGGGGAACAAATGGTTAGAAGCCCATCCTAATCCTTGTTGGAAAACAGATGTTCATCTTTGAGTGCAATGGGAACCTTAGAGATAAGAGCAGAGGTACCCTTTCTGTGTTTCTTCTGTTCCCTGCTTTTACTTTGGTCTAGATGAACCAGGTTGTTGTCGGAGAGCATGTTAAGGGTGGATTAGATAAGCTCACCACCAGCTCTGTGCTCAACAGGAACTGAGAGTTGCCTTGCCCTGTGAGCCAGGACCACCTCTTTTCCCACTGAAAAAATTCACAGAAGGCTGGGGAAGGAGCAAGGAGGTCCTAGCTGTTGGGCCAGCGTAGAATTGGTGCCTGACTTCAGGTCATTGGGAAACAAAGAGGATTCCTTTATTTGCTCAGGTTTTTAGTCCATATGAGGATTGGGGATTTAGTCAGGAGACATAGTGTGGCTAGTCAGTTAATTTGGGATTTTAGAGCATTATCCAAAATCATCTTAAGCCAAAGAGGCCCATGATTGTCAACCTGGCTGGCAGAGCAATACAGGTAGACACTGAACCTACCAGTGCCAGCTGATGCCAGGTGCAGGTTGAGATATACATGAGAATACAGACAGGTGCCTGCAACGTCACACAGCAGGCCTCAGAAAGTGAGTCCTCTTCCTCTGGTACTCCCTAAGGCTGGCACTGGCACTGAAGGGCATTTGGAAATTCAGGGAGGAGGAATGATGATGGAAAAGGGGGTTTGTTTCCTACCTGACCCAAATCAGACAAGTTGCATGCTTCAAGGGCAGTTTCTTCATTTGTGTAACATAAATTTAAAAAAAATATATATTTCCCTTGTAGTACTTTCTGAAGGATGAGAGACAGATTAGGCACAGTTTGCTATGGTTTGCTACAGTCTAAAGATCTCCTGCAAGTTCTTATGCTGGACACTTAATCCACAAATTTATATCTTAATGGTTTGGAGGAATCTT